AGACATAAACTGACTAAGGCATTGGACACTAAAAGAGATGTCAGGTCTAGTGATTGTAAGATACAATAGTCTGCCCACTAACCTCCTGTACTCTTTACTATCTACTGCAACAGCTTTAGGATCATTAGAAGTAAGTTTTAAATTTGTGTCCATAGGAATATTTGAGGGTTTACAGTCAGTGTAACCAGTGTCATGCAATATATCCAATGCATATTTCCTCTGACATATGTGTATGCCTGAGGAAGATTGAGCAATTTCTAGCCCTAGGATATATTTTAATTGACCCAAATCCTTAATGGTAAAACAGTCATCCAGATGATGTTTAATGGCAGTGATATCAGCTAGACAGTTACCAACAAGGATAATGTCATCAACATAAACACATAAAGCAAGAAATGAAGATTCAGACTTCTTAATGAATAAAGAACAATCAGCAACAGATTGTGCAAATCCATATGAAAGTAAACAAGATGTTAATTTTTGAAACCATTGCCTCGAAGCTTGTTTTAGACCATATAAGCTCTTTGTTAACTTGCATACTCTAGAGTCATTTTCATTACAATAGCCAGGAGGTGGTAACATATAAACATCTTCATCAAGCTCACCATGTAAGAATGCATTGTTGATATATAATTGATTCAAATGCCAGTTTTTAATCGAAGCTAAAGCAATAAGTAATCTTACAGTGGTGATCTTTGCAACTGGAGAGAAAGTGTCAAAATAATCAACACCTTCTTCTTGTGTGTAGCCCTTGGCTACCAATCTAGCTTTGTACCTTTCAATGGAGCCATCTGATTTATATTTAACCTTAAACACCCATTTACAACCTATAGGATTTTTGCCAGGAGGCAAATCTGTAAGGAACCAGGTGTTAGTTTTCTCTAAAGCACCTAGTTCTTTATTCATTGCTTCCTGCCACAAGGGATCCTTACAGGCTTGCTTATAGGTTTTAGGTTCTGTGATCTGACTGATAGCAGCAGTATAGCAAGCATGATCATTGGATAAATTTGAAGTAGATAAAAAGGAAGACAAAGGATACATAGAATGTTTTCCAGGTTGAGAGTGTTGTGTTTCAGAAGTTGTAAGATTGGAGGATGATTGAAAAGGGTGTTTATATATATTGAGGTATGATGGAGTTGTTCTGGGTCTTGTAGATCTTCTAATTATTGGCAGTTGTGGTGCAGTTGCAATATGAGGGTTTGGGGTTTGTATAGGTTGTGTGGGAGATGGATTTGCAGAACTGGAAGGAATGGGGTTATTTTCAGTAGAGTTAGGAGGTTCATTGTTTGACAGAGTAGGTGTATCATCATAGGTGAAGGGAGGAGGGTCAGGAAATATATGTAATTGAGTATGAGGATTCTCAGTTTGCTTGAAGGGAAAAATATTTTCATAAAACACAACATTTCTGGAAATTAATGTTTTCTTGGTTTCCAGATTATAAAGTTTGTATCCTTTATAACCCAAAGGATATCCAAGAAGAATGCACTTAGATGCTCTATGTTGAAATTTATGTCTATGTGATTCTAGAGTTGAGGAATAGCATAAACAGGCAATGGTCCTTAAGTGATCATGTGAAGGACAAGCATTATACAATAATTCATAAGGAGATCTGTTTTGAAGCACTTTAGTAGGTATCCTGTTTATTATATGAACAGCTGCAAGTATGCAATCAATTCAAAAATTTAAAGGTAAGTGAGCAGTAAACAGGATAGCTCTAGCTACTTCAAGTAGATGATGATGTTTTCTTTCAACTCTAGCATTTTGTTGTGGTGTTTCTACACAACTAAATTGATGAATGATTCCAGTGGAATGAAAAAAATCATGCATGAGAAATTCTGTTCCATTGTCTGATCTCAATGTTTTAATTTTTGTATTGAACTGAGTATAAACCATGTTATTGAAATGAATAAGATGATGTTTGGTGTCAGACTTATGTATCAAAGGATAAATCCATGTAGTTCTGGTAAAATCATCAACAATGGTCAAGAAAAATTTGTGGCCAGTGTGTGATTGAACAGAAAAGGGGCCCCAAACATCACAATGTATAAGTTCAAAAGGCTTAGTAGCAATAGAATTACTCAAAGTAAATGGAAGTCTTTTCTGCCTTGAGAAATGACATATATCACAAGGGACAATGGTTGTTTACAATGCTTAACAGACAAATGCAATTGTTCAAGCTTGTGAAATGATAAATGTCCAAGTCTGGAATGCCAAGTTTTGAAACTTACAGAATTAGAAGATACAGTAGAATTTGAAGATACAAAAGATGGATTGGAATGTACATTGGATGGTAATAGAGGTAAAGCAGTAAAATTGTAAATGGAAGAATTTGGTGAAGTGGTAAAGTGGTATAACCCAGCTTTAGCTTAAGCAAAACCAATCATCTTTTGAGTTTTCAGATCCTGCATGATGCAGTATGAAGAGTAAAATTGTGCAATGCAGTTATTTGTGGAAGTTAACTTGGAGATGGATATGAGATTAAAATGGAAGTGAGGCACATATAAAGCATTAACCAAAGTAATATCAGATGACAATGTAACAGAACCTATGTGAGATGCAATTGTATGTTGGCCATTTGGAAGATTGATTTTCACAGAGCAAGAGGTGACATTTTGAAAAAGAGTTAAGTCACAAATCATGTGGTCTGTGGCACCTGTATCCAAAATCCATGTATGCTTATGACAAGAAGATTGAACTAAACAAGATATACCTGAAGGTGGACCTGATATGGCAGAGCACACAGCAGGAGTAGTCAAAGCACCAGGATTATGCAGAGGAGTTGTGCTACTGATTCCCTGCTTGTGCTCATAAGCATTTTTAAATGCTAAAAACTCAGAAAAAAGATGATCAGTCATGGAATTTGGAGTAACAGTTTCAGTAGTCTGTGAAGTAGCATGATCAGTGATAACAGAATGGGCTGAATGTGGTTTGTTTGTTTGTCTAGGACCCCTTGGACCATTCCAGTGAGCAGGATAACCAATCAATTGGTAGCACCTGTCACTAGTATGACCAAGGTATCCACAGTGAGAGCATTTAGGTCTAGGCTTGTCTTTATTGAAAGGAGGTCTGTATGGTTTTGTATTGGCTAACATGGCAAGGGAATCAATAGGTTTGGGCACAGAATGAAGAGATCTCTGGCTCTCTTCTTGAAGCAGCAGTGAGTAAACTTTGGAGAGATTGGGTAAAGGTGTGGACAATAAGAAGTGGCTTCTCAGGGTTGAATATGAATCATTTAAGCCAATAAGGAACTTGATAACAGAGTCAGACTGTTGAGATGCAGTCATAGAATCAAAAATATTACATGTGCAAGACGAAAATGCGCCACAAGTACAACGTATGACAGGCCTATATGTCAAATACTCATCCCACAGAGTTTTGAAAGAATTATAATACTGAGTGATTGTCATTGAGCCTTGGTCCATTGTACTCAATGATTTTTCGATTTGAAAGACACGAGGACCACTGCTCAACGCATATCTAGTATGAAGTTCCTCCCAAACATCTTTAGCAGAAGAGAAAAATAACAAAGATTGGCGAATTTCTTTGGTAATACAATTCAACAGCCATGACAAAACCAAATTATTCGCACGAGTCCAGGCAAAAAACTCTACATTATTAGTAACAGGAGGAGGAACAATAGTACCGTCAACGAATCCAAGCTTGTTTTTCACGCTCAAGGCCATACAGATGGCTCGTGACCATGAAACGTAGTTGTCTCCTTGAAAGCTCTCTGCAACAATGAGTGTACCAGGATTGTCGCTGGCGTGCAAGAAGAACGGAGAAGAAGGATCGTCGGTCGGAATCAAACGTGTAGTTGCCATCGCAAATATCGAACAGACAGATCTAGGGTTGTGCAATACAGAAAAATATCGAAACGATGGATGTCGAATCGATTCAGAGAAAACGAAAACAAGATGAATAAAGATCTCAGCAGCGGAAAATAGGATCGATCTCAGAAAACTGATCCCATATTGAACGAAGAAATTGAAGAACACAATGAAGAAAAGAGAATAATCGACAGAAAAGAGAAAAGGAAAGATTAGGTTTTCATTGAAAGGGAAAGTGAAAAGTAAGTACAGAATATGCCCTTTTGTCTCTCATATACTTGGGCCCAAAGTGTAAAATACACAAGTGTAAATACCTAATACAATACTAACAAAAATACTTTATGCAACTATACAAAGTGTTATTACAAAAATGCGATTATGTTTATGTTAAAATGAAGAACACTTATTCTATTAATACGAAGCAAAAAGTTCTTTATCTCCTCAAGAAACCCGCCCTTTATGTAGGCGTGAATCAACCAAATGTCATAGAAATGTGACCACCTTCTTAGAATACCACCTAATGCGTCAGAATAACGAACCTGTTGACTTTGTGGTCGCACTCAACCTCGCTAACTTTCGCAAAGAATTTTTTGAATGGGTGGTTCCACCGATATCATCCACCAGAGCTCTTTTGATCTTGTGAGACAAAATTTCAAATTTTAATTGAACACTCAACAAAAAATATCACTTAAACTTAAATATTTAAATATATTGATGATTTCTACAGGAATGAAAAGAACAACAAATGTAGAATATTAAAATATGTAAATTGCTATATACGTACCTGAAATGAAATGTATGTTCAGGGTGCAACTGATCTCTATAGGTCCTGTTGGCCGGTTGTAGACTCTAGGGAAAAAATCTAACAAAATTTCTCTACAAATCATACAACTCACAATTTTCGAAAAAAAAAAATGTAAGAACTAACCTATATTTTCTTGTTTGAGCTTAGATTCTGACACAACACAAAGGACTATGAGTCTTAGTGTATCCTTGGAGATGGGAAATTAGACCCCCGAGTTTTATCAACTTGCAAATTTTTCCACAATTAGTTAACAAAACGAAATTGGCTGATATCATTACGATATTAAGTAGCATAAATTATGGGATAATTTGCTCGTTGAAATAATAATTGATACAACAGAAATAGAAACTATCAATTCCTTTTGCAGATTAGAATCCTTAAAATTCAAAGAAGTCTGCAGAATCATATGGGCGCTTGAGCCTAGTGTATTAGGAATCACCCCCGATATACTACTAATTATTTTATTTGGTTAGAAAGAGAAATATCTGTGGGAATACAACAACATATTGGACATGAATACGCTGGGCTGTTGGGAATTCTGCAAGTTCTAGCAGACGGTACAAAACTATTTTCAAAGAGAATCTTTTTCCTTCTAGAGGAAATACTCGTTTATTCAGTATCCGATCACCAACAGCAGTCATATCCATTTTACTAAATTATTCAGTAATTCCTTTTAGCTATCACTTTATTCTAGCGGATCTTAGCATTGATGCTTTTTTGTGGATTGCCCTTTCACGTCTTGCTCCCATTGGACTTCTTATGTCGGGATATGGGTCAAATAATAAATATTCCCTTTTTGGTGAATTAGGGGCTGCTGCTCAATCAATTTAGTTATGAAATACCATTAACTCTATGTGTATTATCAATATTTCTGCGTGCAATTCGGTAAAACAAAAAATTTCCCCTATTTCTTTTCTTTCTAGGAGCAAGAAAATTAAATGGGTTGAATATCTATTTTTTTTATTCATCATCGGCCGGGTTGATTAATTAAATCAAATAGTTATATCAGTGCAATAAAATGGCTCAAAATTTGGCTGTTAAAAGAATTTAATTTCATTTCCTATGTACAAGAATTACGTGAAAATAAATATATAAGCAGTTGAAACTGTTTACCCCAAGATCGCTTGATTAGTTATTTGACTTGAGGCGGGTTCTAAAGATCAATCATATGGTCTCTTATCATCTATTTCCATAGATCGATTCCCCTAAGCGAGATTAAAAAAAAAAGATCCGTGGGTGGTTAGGAATACCAAGATACACAAAGGATTAGTAATGGAGATTCTAAAAATTTTCTAAAAGGATATTTTTCTTTTATAGATTAAAGTAATTCAAATTGGGACTTTAACTTGGTAGAAAGGATTAAGAAGTAAATTTGGAAATTGAGCAATTCCCCCTTGTTATAACTCGGCAAGTACCCATAGATACTATGATGCTTTTTTTATTCCCACCACTCCTTTATCTATATTATATATATAGAAGTTCGAGATAGTATTGTCAAGGGTCAAATTCAAATCATAGGCATAGATTCGATTTTTTATTCACAGGTTTCGTCGTTCCCTCCACCCCTTTATCTATATTATATATATAGAAGTTTGAGATAGTATTGTCAAGGGTCAAATTCAAATCATAGACATAGATTCGATTTTTTATTCATAGATTAACAAATCATCTCGAGCCAATTTCAGCAATACCTCATTCAAGATACATGAAAATTACTCATGGTTGCAGGGAAGAGAGATCGTCAGAAAACATAGAGTTGCTGGAAGGTGAATCGCTGAAAGCAAGAAACTTGATTTGCAGAGAAGAAATTAGTGGACAAGTGAATTTGGTAATTTGCAAATGTGGAAAAGTCCGAAAATTACCTAAGTGCGGGTATTTACAGGGGAAAGGTGAAGGGATGAAGAACGTGACCGTTGGATTAAAGTAGAAATCCAACGGATATAAAGCAATACAGATTTGCTCTTAGATCGAGTAATTCAGACTCGACCAGAGTATGGAGGATTAGATGATATGGGATACTATACTTAAGGGAGTAAACCAATTCATTGGACCAGTCGAACAGATCCGATATGGAGGGGTCATATTGGTTGAATATCATCGAGCACAGTGATTGTGGTCGAACATTACGAGAACATGATATGGAGGATTCCAGTACGAAGGGTATAAATCGGTCTCAAGTTCGTGCAGGATCTGGTCGAAGATCGACCTGTCGACCAGAGGAGCATTTGATCGACCACTCACAGACTGAGAACAGTCTGAGGATCGACCTAGACATGGTTGAGCGTAAGAGCCTTTAAGAGAATTTCATAGGAATATCCAGGGGAATATTTACCCCATGTGCAGAGGACACATGGCGTGAATGTACTGGTTTATGATGATAACCGTTACTGACACACGCACTATATGTGTGTACGGATGGCAGGCCCGGACAGCTTTGGGAAGACAGCTCATCAAATCCCGACAGCTCCTAGGTCAGGTATCTCATCTCTATATATAGGGGTGAACTTTTTCTTGTTGAGCACGATTTATCCATTTTTTCTCTTGAGAATTGAGTAGAACTAGGGCTGTAAACGAGCCGAGCCGAGCTCGAGCACCCTCGGCTCGGCTCGTTAAAAAAATGAGCCTAAAATTAAGCTCGAGCTCGAGCTTTAACGAGCCAAACTATAAAAAATTATATAAAAATTCTATTTTTGAGCCTTATCGAGCCGAGCTCGGCTCGTTAGCCAAACGAGCTTTAAATGAGCTCGAGCTCGGCTCGTTAAGGTCTCCAACTCGAGTTGAACTCGATCCTTAACGAGTCGAGCTTGAGCCGAGCCGAGCTAGACTCGTTTAATTTAACAGCACTAGAACAAATACTGACTTAAGCATCGGAGGCTCTTTACCGAAAAATCCCTCCGGTGTGAGGGTTCTTTGCAGGTACGCGGCATTCTATCGACGAGGAGGAAGGAAGCAAACTGATTTTCAGCCGGTCGGAATGTTTGACGTTACTAGATTTTATTTGAAAATCAACTTTAAATACAAATATGTACAAAGATAAAAGAACGCATAAGATGAAATATTATATTGATATGAATTTTATGAATTAAAATCGGTTCTTGTTCGGTTCGACATGGTTTTTTTGGCTTCGTTTCGGTTCTCGGTTCAGATATTTTATGAATCTCTAGAATCGTACCGAATATTTTTTCGGTACGGTTCAGTTTAGATAAAGTCAAACGGTCAATGGATATTTTCGGTTCGGGATGAATTCGGTTCGGTTTTCATAACGATTCGGTAATCTCCGAGTCCCGTGCTCAGCCCAAATTTTGAGTAATATAAACTTAATTATCCCAGTAACAAAGTAGTACAAATCCCGTGCGATGCATGAGTAAGAGATATTCATTAATATTTATAAATTAAAAACATGGAATAAATATGTAATACAATGTACCTATATTAAAAAAATAAAATATTTTTGTATAAAATATCCAAATCAAAAAAGTTAAGTAGTTGAGTAAAAACAATCAGTCATAAGATTTTTTATGCCAAAACAATCGACACTCTTTATCATGCTAAAAAAAATGGACAGTGCATTTCACACAAAAATTATTTGAAATATCATAACAAAAATGAATTAAATCGAGACCCATTAATTATACAAAAAAATTTGACCAGAGTTTTTTCTATAAAAAATATTGATATACGTACATTATGTCAAAATATACATTCATATTATTTTGTCGGAATTACGGTAATTTTATTATGTCGATTTCATATGAAAAATTGAAATAAAAATTGAAACTCACAGCTAAATTTTCTCACTTTATATCATATATTGATTAATTTATTTCCTATAGAAACAACCATCAATACCAAATATAAGTTCGTTCACTTTATACCATATATTAATTAATTAACATGACTTGAGTAATTAAGGTATCTTAAAATATGTTTTGTTACTTCATTAAATAATGAACCGCAATTTCCATAAGTGATCATTTGAAATATATCATAAATTGTTAAGTTAATTTTTCAAAATAGTAAATAGATTTTTTTAGAGGAAAATAGTTATTATTTAACAAATAATCAAACTTTTTTTTATATATATAGATGGTACAGCTGTGAATTATTTGTGATGGAGGTTCTTTAATGCATACTTATGAGCCCAAATTATTAGAGCTTTAAGGGCATGGAAATTGAAAAAGGGAGTGGGATTTGTTGGCAAATAACCCATAATTACACCTACATATGCTAAACGGTCTTTGGCCCGATTGGCCGGCCCGTTTAAATATAGTTTTTTAGGCCTGGACCGTTTAGCCCAAAGCCAGCTAGGGCTAGCCCGAAAACCGCTAGAGCTAGCCTGTTTAACTTGGGTTGGGTGGTGTAAATATTTTTAGCAAGGTAAGGAATATTGTTTGTCCCATTTTTGTTGCGTTTTTCGTGTTTATTTTATCTTTCTTTTTCTTCCGTTTTGGGCCGTTTCTTTAGTTTTTAGTCCGTTTCTTATTTTATTATGTGTTTTCCTTCATTTTGAGTCTTTAGGTGTTTTTCGTTTGTTTTTCCGGTTTTCTTTTGTGTTTTCTCGTTTTTGGTGTGTAGGTCGGGAGTTTCAGGAGAATTTTCTCTTCAGGAAAAATTGGTTTCAAGAGTGTAGGAAAAAACGGCGCGTAGAGGGGTTCGTTGGCAACGCGTAGGAAAAAACGGCGGTCAATTCCGAGTTCGAACGAGCTCAAACGAGGCCAAAACGTGAAGAGGCGCAGTGCAGTCCAAGTCTCGAGCCGCGACCGTGCCCGCGACCCGCGACTAGCCCCACGCCCAGCGCGCGCGCCCCCAACGCCCAGCATCTCGCGCCTCGCGACCAGTGTGTCGCGCCTTGCGAAAGAAACAGAGACGCGCAGCCCCAGCGACCCAGGCGAGTCGCGACTGGGCCGACCCTGTTTTTATTTTTGCTCGTTTTTACTCGTTTTAGCTCCATTTTTCGCGCACTATATATCAAAACGATCCTTAGACTCGTGGGAACAATCCCCAATATTCTTTTTTCACTTTCTCCTTCTCTAAAAACTCAGATTTAGATCGTTCTTTTTTCTCTCTCTTTACTTTTTCGGATTTAGTTTTGTCATTGGATTCGAATATTGGATTTCTATTAATCGTAAGTTTCTCTTTTCATCTAATTCATGAATATGATGGCTTTGATTGTTGATTTTGAATTCCATATGAGTGGCTAAATTGTTTCGCTAGGGATAGGGGATGATGATGATGTTTAGAATTTAATTGTGATTATCATGCTTGTTGATCGCTCAATTTATGCGAGTTGTTCTTAACTAGGGTATATAATTCTCGTACATTGAATGTTGATTATTGTCAAAGAGTGACACTTCGATTTGCAATTGATCTCCAATTGAATATGATTCGTTCTTGTGTGATGTGTTTAAATCCATCGAACTAGTAAACTAAAAATCATCTAGGATAATTTAATCAACTCTTAGAACCGAAAGGGGAAGAGTTGATCGATCTAGGCTCGCATGAAATAGACTTGATCGGAAACGTATTGTTTATGTGTTGTGTGATTTGTTTGATTTACCGTCTATGTTATCCTCTTGTTACGAAAAGTTATTGAGGACTATCTGTAGACGTTAGGTTGCTCGAATCATTTAACCGAATGATATTAGCTTGATATTTGCCTTGGTTAGAAAATCATCATCCCCGACTCCTTAGCTTCTTACATCTTATCCTTTGATCTTCATCTTTGCTTTAAGTTGGATTTCGCATTGTTTGAATGCTCTTTCATAATTGATAATTAAAAACCACTATCTTGATTAGAGTGTTTATGATTTATTTTTCTTTTATGTGTT